ACATATTAAAATTCAAATGAGGAATATATATTCAGGTGATATGATTTGACTAGAATGACATTTAAGTGGGAATACGAGTGGAACTCTTTTCATTTGTATTTTAAATGAACTGTTAAATTTCATGATTCTTACTATTTGGGATTTGTACATAAACTTTTGGCACACTGCTGTACATGTAACTGTCCTATTTTTTATCACCATAAACATAGAGAATAATAGACTGGTAACCGGTTTAATTCTTGTTTCATGAGTAAGTTTAAGGTTGTGTAAATTGCCCCAGAAATACAAAATGGTTTTTGATTTGCACTTGAAAATGTGGCAAGCGAGAAATTATCAGTTGAGTTCCTCAAACATTGCTCAAACTATTAACTGATAAAACCCTGACTTTTTGAATCTTGGATTTGACAAAACTTGCATAAGAATGTTGGTTTACTGAAGCAGACAGAATAAACTAAAGTATAGCCAGAAATGCTTGGAAAATGCTTTTTGGCTTCAATATCAATATGATGAATTTGACACAAGATCAAAGGATATACATGACGCGACTCTACCTAGTTTGATATTAAAGCTCAGATGAAAATATGCACTTGAGGGGGGACTTCACAGGAGGAAATTTTGACGTTTTAACAACAATCGTACATATTATAAGTACAAACTGTAGTTTTGAAATACAGACTAATTATTCATATAGCCTCAACTAATTAAATTACACAAATCATTGTAAAAAGTTTTCATCAGGCATGTGTATCCCGTGCACGACGAGATAGTGGCTGTTCCATTTCTGCGGTTTCACCCCGCCGCGACAGATAACAACTTTTGCGTTTTCAATGGTGATAGTTTCTTAAACAACTTTTTTGGTGGAGTCCGGAAAATTTTCAAATATAAGAAAGCTGTTGGGTATTAGTAAATGATAAACATGTGTATTATTTATATTTATGTGGCAATTTTGTACAATGATAAACTTTGCAATTCATCGGTCCGTTTCTGACTCAAACTGACTGTAGCTATGTTCAAAATAATTACATAAAAATGTCTTAATTCAAATCGCATAAATAATCTTGTTCACCCATAGTAGTTTCACTTGGTGTATGAGCATTTAACTGGCAACATGCGACTTGATATCCCTGCAAAACAATTAATTTCAAATTTATACCAGTATTTCATACTAGAGAAACAAAGGGGGAAACCCCTCGTCAGCTATGACAGGGTTTACTATAGAATGTGTAAAGCCCTTCATTTGACATATAGTCAGGTTTACAAAGTTGTAAACAAATCAGTTACCTCAGGGGTCATATCAAAAGCAAGTAGGAAACACAAACTGGATGGCTTTGATACGGGTGTCATACGCCGTGAAGTATATAAACTGTATGAACGCAAAATCCCACTGACGTGTGCTAAAATACAAGATGAGATCAAAGATACAATAAATGTCCTGTTGTAATTCCGCTAGAGTCCTCCACCAGCAGTGATACTGACACTTGATATTTTGAGACGGTCCCTGAGATGTACTGCCCGTGCGTTACATAACGCTGTCACCCTGTCTGCCTGCCAGGTGGGTCATAGTATAGTTTGTTTCTTAGAAGTGTTTCTACCATGGAATTTTTTCTAAGTTTTTCGAGTAATCATTATGATTGGGAATGGTACATCGTGATTACTCATATGCCATATTAGGTCAAGGTGATATGAATGATTATATATGAGTTTTGAATCTAAAATATCAAACATTATCAAATAATTGCCAAAAAGCATATTTTCCAAGCATTTCTGGCCTTGCTATAGTGTTGGGAATTAGTTTAATCAACTAAGCCAAACAAAGATGGCGGGTGAGCTTAGCAACAAGGTTTGGACTGGATTTAAATGTAGCCGTAATATTCGGCGACGACTTTATGGAGTGGGTCTGCCATGAACTCGTCGAAGTGGATTAAGGAGTACGGGACACTGCATTCTCGGGCCTCGAAGCTATAATCGATTAACGTATACATGAGGTGTTGTAACCGTTCGGTGCCCACGAGACCTAAACTATCGTACAGGTTAGTAAATTTCCCTCAACTTATGACTCGACGCAGGGCGGCATAAATATCGAGGCCATGGACGTCCACCCCGACGCCTCTGAACAACCGTTTCTCGATCAATCTCCACATGCTGATAATGAGAGACATAAGACGAATCTTTAATAAGAAGGGGGCAATACCGTATCGTGAGGGACAATTTGTAATTCCTCTCTGACGAGTCCCCTACCCGGTCCGTCTTGCAAGTAATACACATTCGGTTCGTCATCTTTGATGTCCACTCGGTCGACGTGGTACGTTTTCATGGACCATACGGGGACTGTGGCGCGACGTTTATCCCATCCTTCGAGTTCACTGGACTGGTACAGATACCTCACGCAACCCGGTCTGGTGGTTATTTCTCTCGGCCGTGACGCGATGGAGCAGCCGCTTCAGTCACGGATTTCATTCGAATGGCTTCAACGGGTCTTTTATCGAGGAGACGAGTGACTTCGTTGTTGATAGCCGAAACCACTCGCGGTAAGCGTACGACCCATTCCGTCGATCGTTTTTCTGGGTCGACCATCTCTCGGGCATACTGATGTCGGAACAAACGCTTAGCTAAAGTCCTTGTCGCTCAGAGCCATGTACAGTCCCACGCCGAACACGTAGTCGACTTTCGACCGGGCGTATTCCAACGCGCCCTGGTAACGCCGGATGGCACTCGGTAAATTCACCGGTCTGGCGATGACGTACTCGACGTTCGACAAACTGTTTCTGCGCATCATAGGCCATCCCTTGACCCACAATGTTGGAACGTGCCCTGCAGCGCCCACACGTGCGTTCGAATCGAATCGTTCAGTCTGACAACACCGGGATGAGTAAACCCCTTTGACGAGTCCAGGATAAATCGTATCCAATTGTCCGCGGATCCCTGCTCAAACCTCCAAACGTCATAATCCTTGCTGTCATCAAAAGCCATGAGATCATCTCTCCACTCGTTACATGTGATGTAAGCATTTGCATACTTTTTACCAACCCATTCTTTCAACGTCTGGCTGGCTTCTACGAGGGGCATGTGGTGAACAATACGAATACCCAACCCGTGGTTCGTACCCGGTATACGCCAATCCGTGTTCAGATTGATTTCGAATTCGTCGCCGCAAATCCGTTCGTAAGCCCACCCATCGTACGGATTGTTTACTGCATTCCACGCCTTGTCCTGCGGAATCGGGGTGCTTATTTCTTTCAGGATGCATCTGATTTGGTAGTACACATGAAACGTAAACACAGACCGACTCAGCGCATCACGACTCGTGTCATTCAACTTCACGCTGCACCCTGTTGTTACACACCAAATTGAATTGATTCTGCCAGAATTGCATTGGGTTGTTAAACCATACATGGACTGCCTTGACGTTCGTGACCGAAAGCCTATACTTTTCAAATACATCGATAAATCGAGCTCGAAAGTGGGAACCCTCCTTCGCATCCACCACGATTTCCATGTGCGTGAGATCGGTAACACTTAAATTATCGCTTTTAGAATAAATCACTCCAGCCTGGTACTTGGGTGTAAACATATTGAATTATTATAATTACGTATATGTATTTTTTCAATATGTACGTCTTTACCAACGACAACCGATGGGTGTTCATGCCCTCTCAAATCGACTGGAATCTCAACATTGCGCTAGACTCTCCCCACCTGTTCATGGAAAACAAAGACCACGGAACGCTGATCGTGGCTTATGTCCCCATGCAGCGTCATCGTCAGCACGCTGTCGTAACCCTTAGCTCACATCCTATCGAGTAAACCCGTTCATACATGAACGCTGGCTTGACATACATACTATGTCAGTAGAATGCTCATACACAAACGCTGGCGTGACATACATGGGGCTAACTAAGTCAGTAAAACGCTCATGTAGGAACGCTGGCATGACCTATATACCTCCACTCACTTGCAAAAGTTCCTGTCACTATCCCGACTTGAACTCCAAACACTGGATTACGAGTTCACAACTCTAACCATCACACTGGCGAGCCAGCTGATACCTCAGTGCTCGGAACTTTGGGTCTATAGTCCGTTTGGCTCAAAAGTGGACCGATGAATTGCAATTTAACTCGAAAACTAATAAACAGAAAATACTCAATGAAACACTGATCATAATCAAAACGTCAGACCAACTCTCTGAGTTTTTTTGCAGAATTTATGTCCTAAAAATAAAAAAGTTGTTTAACAAACTATCATTAAAATATTGACACAGTTCACTATTTGTTACGAGGGAGAAGTGCAGAGAAAGGGACAGCCAGGTGTTTGAGAAAGGATGGAGACGGCACAGCACAGGTTAATGAATCAATAACTTTGTCGGTACTTGTGCACGTGCTTCTCTAACACCTTGCTGTCCCTTTCTCTGTACTCCTCCCTCGTAACAAATAGTTAGACTGATGAATAATAATCAGTATGTCATGAAAATAACAGTCTTCAAGATATCTTCAATCATGACTTTGTCAAGAGGCGACAAACAGGATTGGGTGGTCAGGCTTGCCTACTTTGTTGACTCATTTTATCGTATCCCAATTGCGTAGATTGATGCTTGTGTTGTTGATCACTGGATTGTCTGGTCCAGACTTGATTATTTACAGACCGCCACCCTATAGCTGGAATATTGCTGAGTGTGGCGTTAAACAACCATCCAACCAATAAGTGAAGTGGGTTTTCAACTAATAAAAAAATTCCAATTTTGGGTGTTACCATGCAAACCATTTTCACAGATATGAGTTTAATGCTCATATTTAGTGTCATATATATGTCATGTGATACGATAAAGTAATACTTATCTGTGGTAGAATGCACTTTACTATTTGCAGCCTGCTCATTGTGGAGCAATGATCACACTATAGTGCAATTGTTGTGTCACTGTATCACTCATACTCCAGTGACCTTCAGTGCCATTCACTGTTCCTTCTGAACCCTGTTTTCTGTAACATTTTTTTTTTTTTTTCCAGACACTTATAAACGTGTACAATGCCTACATCATGGAGTCCAACAAACAATGGTAAGATACATCATTGTCATTTGTTTATTTTAGCCTTGCTTGTCACACATGGACTTAAAATGGAGACAATATATTTACCCCTGCATCAGTATTGACATAACCAGCTATCCGTAGTCTCATGTAAGCCCCTAACTTTCAAGCTGATATGGCTCTTTAATACCTGCTGTGAATGCGAGTGCCGGTTTGTCACATTAAGCCTCAGTGTTTTAAATGGGGACCAGGAGAGTTTAGTCGGGGTCTTCTGCTTCTAAAGTCTATTAAAGTGTTTCCAGCATAGATTTGTTAGTTTGTTTATTGTTTCATGCTACATTTTCATTGACTAAGTTTATCACCTGTTTCTGTATTTCTTCCCTTTAAAATGCAGACAATGGATTGAAACCTGTTTTAGAGACATGTTTATGCTGGTTTGTATTGGAACCTTGCAATCAGGTCAACAACATCATGGAATTTACATGACCAGATGATCACTGGTCTAATGCCAGAAGAAAGGACTAGTCTCATGTAAACAGATTTCTAATGCCTGCCAAATCTGTTTTTATTGCTGGCTGAAAAATCTAATGTTAACATATTGAAACCGTAATACTACTTTAATGTATTATAATTATGCTTATGGTTTGTTTCAGACTTCCAACCATACAGATCTAGAGAAATTCTTGTGAGGGATTCCAAAGGTACAATTCATGTTTTCCTTGTTCTTTCAAAATGTTTTTCTTGTCTCTCAAGCAATCATCTTTTCAGAGATTTGACGATACAATTTTAATGTGTATGTGAGCATAGCATGGTCAAAACATGACGGTGAAGTGCCTGGGCTCTTGTAGCAAAGGGAGGTAATAGCCACAGCTTGTGGTAGATAGCTGCCTACAGTACGGGGGAGACTACTACATATCTAAAACACATTTTAGTTACCAAAGTAGTCCCTCTGTGAATTTCTCAGAAATTGCCCATTTAGCATACTGAAAGAAGTTAAGTTTGGCATGTATACTGATCATTCAGCCTAAGCCAAAAGCATTGTGTCTACTTGGCTATAAGCATCATATTCTGTACTGATTGTTGTGTGATTATATGGATTATTTTTAGGCAAGCTTACAAACCAAACCAAATTTTACTTGACTCGACTACTTGAATGGGTTTTTTTCAGATGAGCCATCCGACACAACAAGCAAAGGTTTCATTGAAGATTCCATTCCTACTGTGGATAAGGATAACGTGGAAAGCTCGGGTACAATTGTCTTTCTCTTTGTAACATAGTTTACTAATGTGAAACTGCACAGAAATTACCACTAAAACCATTTAAGTTTTCTTTTTGGCTTTGTATTAATGATTGTGCTTAATTTTACTTCATGAATTTCATCAATAACATTTGTAGACACGTTTTTGTCGGACATGCAGAACTCCTTGGTGAGGCCCGCCATATAGCTGGAATATTGCTGAGCGCGGTGTAAAACTCAACTCAACCGTGGCGAGGCAGTCACTGGTACGAGTGACTCCCTTTCAGATAGTATCTTAAGTTCATATGAAGTGACATGACATTGCTGGTCGAGGACGGAAATTAATTTATCAGTTTTGATGATTAAGTGTGTTAGGTTGTTATGTGCTGCTAATATGAATTCATCACATGAAGATGTGTGCCATGATCTTTTCCTTTTCTGTTTCATTAAAGGTCACACTCCTGAAGACAGCCTAGCAGTTGCGAGTGAAATTAGCTCTGACAGTGGTAGATATGATTTTATTTCATTTGCATGTATAGATTCTTCACCAATATGAAAAAACAGTAATATGCTGGTAATTTTCAAAATTCATTGTAATGCAACTTAAATACTGAATAGTAGTTCAAGACAGTGGCTTGTTCACTGAAAAAATGTTTCTGTATTTTTCACAAACTTGCATATGTTGAATAGTGCTTGTTACAGTTACATTTACATGTCTTATTTACATTATAACTTTCTCAAATTCATCAAATCAGGAGATGGTTGCGATTCAGTGGTTCCAGTCAGCAAAGCACCAAAGAGAGATTTGACGATACAATTTTTTTGTGTGTGAGCATAGCATGGTTAAAACATGACGGTGAAGTGCCTGGGCTCTTGTAGCAAAGGGAGGTAATAACCACAGCTTGTGGTAGATAGCTGCCTACAGTACGGGGGAGACTACTACATATCTAAAACATGTTTTAGTTACCAAAGTAGTCCCTCTGTGAATTTCTCAGAATTGCCCATTAAGTTAAGTTTGGCATGTATACTGATCATTCAGCCTAAGCCAAAAGCATTGTGTCTACTTGGCTATAAGCATCATATTCTGTACTGATTGTTGTGTGATTATATGGATTATTTTTAGGCAAGCTTTACAAACCAAACCAAATTTTACTAGACTCGACTACTTGAATGGGTTTTTTCAGATGAGCCATCCGACACAACAAGCAAAGGTTTCATTGAAGATTCCATTCCTACTGTGGATAAGGATAACGTGGAAAGCTCGGGTACAATTGTCTTTCTCTTTGTAACATAGTTTACTAATGTGAAACTGCACAGAAATTACCACTAAAACCATTTAAAGGGCAAGTGTACCAAAAATTAACCTTTTAGTCTTGCCGCGTTTTCTTCATAAAAGTGTTTATCAAGATTCGTTTTATATCAAACCCGTTACATAAATCAGAAGTAACTAATTTATTATTTGTGTTATATCAATTCATATTCTCAACATTTACCAAGAGTTCTATGTCCACAATAAACACACCATGGCTTATGCCCTTGGAAATGGCGTCATTGGTGCCCAAGCGATAAGCGAATGGCGTCGTCAGACCTTATTAGACCCATTTCCGTGGTGCAGGTATAGGTGTGGTTCTTGTGTCTCGATCGCGCAGGCTACTGTTTTAATCCACCTGTTGCTTGGCGTCCAGCTGGCTATGTGGTCAGTTCTACACTGTAATGGCGTTGCAGTTTGAAAAAGCGTATACATTGTACTAAGAGTGTTACCACGTAACCAAATTGTATAACATATACAACCTGAGTAGGTTAGATCTTTCCAACAGTACCTTTTTTCATGAAACCTATAAAGCGTTATATGCACTACATCTTGCTTGCCATCGGTGAATGTGCCGGCATTCTACGTTTGTTACTAAAGTTCTTACATAAATCGTGCGATATGTCACTCCTCTTCCACCTAATTCAATTTTATATCGATAGTACTCTACATCACGCAGATAAATGCAATTTGCAGTTTTGAACACTGTTTGAAATTCGTTTTCTATGATAGCATCCGCTGATTGTAGATAAAATTTACTGAAAATTACATGCATCGTAAATCTCGCCAGTTTTGACACATTACTAAATCACCATTCACTCGCGCTTTTGCGTAATTTATGGTAAAATGTCAAATTTTACTGGGAGAATTGAATTTAAAAGAAAAAGATGTATCATTGTGATCAGCAGTAGATTTGTTGTTGTATGATCGAATCACCAATGCTCGTTCTGAAACATTATCAATGAACCGAGAATCGCTGAGAATGTTTTGGAAAATCGCAAACGCCAAAGTGAAGTTTCAGCCATATTACATAGTGTTTATAAAATCACGTCCACATGTATGTCGGTAATGTTTAGGCCCATAAAATTCAACACCATCTTCCTTCCTTACATGAATCCCTGAGTTCCTCATACAGTTCGCAATAAACTGACAAATGGACTTTGTCACCAATACGAAGTGTTTCAGCTTAAATCTAACGAAATATATCGAAGATATGAGTTGCAGCTTCAGTGAAAGAATACTTGTTTGAAATGTATACAAAGCCAATCTCAGATTTTACACTGTGTATCCGTTAGCCACTTGTTGCATGCATACAATTGCTCATTAGTTTTAGAACATGCATGGGAAAGGTATCAGAGCAAGCTTATAGTTAAATAAAACAGGTGTATGCCAATGATTTTCTAGATTCATCACAACATATTATAGTTTTTGAAAGCATGACGCCATAACTGACGCAAAACTCACGCACAACGATGATCGGTACTTCTCTTAATTTCTGACTATTTCCCTTTGGTCACAATGAAAACAAAAGAAAATAACAACCAGCAGACTGTCAGAAGTTTCGACTACTAACATGTCACATTTATGCATATACGTTGCTTGAAACAACGAAAAATGTCCTTCGAAAACTCGTGTCAGTGAACACGCCATTTTGAAAAAGTCGCTTCCGATAGTGATGTCATAATGGACGTCAACATTGTTATACATATTTGGTATTTTCATTGAGGCGAGGTTATGAATGAACATACACACGCGACCAATCCGGCCCTGCTGCTTACATTTTCTGTTCTTATGCTTCTTCAGATTTTCAACCTAACTTTTTTTCACGTGATTAATATCAGTATTATTATCTTTTGATTTGGGACTAGACAGGGAGACCAGTTTAAATTCAAGTGGCACCAATTACGCCATAATCAAAGTGCTGTAACTCTGGCCTGTTTAGCTCGGCAAAAAATACCTCATATTGGCATAACATTTCAGCACTTATTTTGAGGGTTATACTTACGCTTGTAAGAAAAAATGAGTGTATATTTTCAAACATTGGTATTAACTAATTAAAACAGTTCACTTTGGTTCACATAAGAATAAATGTGATTTATTCGTGTACACTTGCCCTTTAAGTTTTCTTTTTGGCTTTGTATTAATGATTGTGCTTAATTTTACTTCATGAATTTCATCAATAACATTTGTAGACACGCTTTTTGTCGGACATGCAGAACTCCTTGGTGAGGCCCGCCATATAGCTGGAATACTGCTGAGCTGATGTAAAACTCAACTCAACAGAGTGGCGAGGCAGTCACTGGTAAAAGTGACTCCCTTTCAGATAGTATCTTAAGTTCATATGAAGTGACATGACATTGCTGGTCGAGGACGGAAATTAATTTATCAGTTTTGATGATTAAGTGTGTTAGGTTGTTATGTGCTGCTAATATGAATTCATCACATGAAGATGTGTGCCATGATCTTTTCCTTTTCTGTTTCATTAAAGGCCACACTCCTGAAGACAGCCTAGCAGTTGCGAGTGAAATTAACTCTGACAGTGGTAGATATGATTTTATTTCATTTGCATGTATAGATTCTTCACCAATATGAAAAAACAGTAATATGCTGGTAATTTTCAAAATTCATTGTAATGCAACTTAAATACTGAATAGTAGTTCAAGACAGTGGCTTGTTCACTGAAAAAATGTTTCTGTATTTTTCACAAACTTGCATATGTTGAATAGTGCTTGTTACAGTTACATTTACACATGTCTTATTTACATTATAACTTTCTCAAATTCATCAAATCAGGAGATGGTTGCGATTCAGTGGACCCAGTCAGCAAAGCACCAAAGAGAGATTTGACAATACAATTTTTTTGTGTGTGTGAGCATAGCATGGTTAAAACATGACGGTGAAGTGCCTGGGCTCTTGTAGCAAAGGGAGGTAATAACCACAGCTTGTGGTAGATAGCTGCCTACAGTACGGGGGAGACTACTACATATCTAAAACACATTTTAGTTACCAAAGTAGTCCCTCTGTGAATTTCTCAGAAATTGCCCATTTAGCATACTGTAAGAAGTTAAGTTTGGCATGTATACTGATCATTCAGCCTAAGCCAAAAAGCAGCATTGGCTGCATCTATTCTGTACTGGCTATTATATGGATTATTATTTTCCTTATCCTGACTCATGCTCTTTTGATTGTCCCCTTCCTCTTGCGAACATGTGGAACACTTATCTCCTTAATTGAAGCTCCTTCAATGTAAAATCACTAATTGGTACTCACCCAAGAGTTGCCTCCCCTGCATAGCTGGCGGGAACAGGTGTCGCCACCCTCTGGCGTCATGCTTCACTCTCTCCTCCTTAGCCCAGTGAGCAGGATGTGAGAGCCTGTGTCTCCTTACACACACTATATCCTTTGGTTTTCTTAGTTAGTTACCTCTTATAGTTTACTATAAAGGTATAGCTAGTATCCTTCATTAATTTGCATTGATAATTAATCATTATTTCTACTGTTTATTCCGTGAGTTAGTTTGATTGTTCAGCTAGTATTACGTTGATGAAAAACTACTATTTTGTAGATTACGTTTTTCGCTGCAGATCCGCATGTAGTATGCCCTAGTTGTACTTACACGCCTTGTGCGTTTGATTCACGTTGCAGTTACTGCATTAATTTAACCAATTCTGCCTTTAATAAATACCATCTTTGCGTCTTGAGGCGTGTTGCAGATAGGTCACGCCAAACTAGGTGTAGACATGGCCGATACATCGGATTCCCCATCCAGTCAGCTGCTGTCGGCGATCCCTCCCCGTTTGGTGTTCTGCTTGAGACCCCATCGGAAGAGGGGACGTGGGATGCAGTCCGTCACCTCTAAGAAGCGACCGGCCTCCCCAGACATCCCGTCGCCATAGATAAAGTCCAAGAGGGCCACAACGTTCTTCTCAAGCGCAGACTTCGTACCCCAGGGCAGCGTCATCCTCCAAAGGGAAATCTACTGAAGTCATCGAGAACTTTCTCAGCAGAGATCGTTCCAGCAGCAGAATTGGGCCTCTACGATGATCAACCAATCATCATACCCGACATACGCCACAAGAAGCGACCAGTGACAGCGACAGTGACTTCAGCAGAGATCACCATGCAGCCTGATGCCTCTACACTGATGTCAGACGAGATCGCGGAGGGCCCCACCGCTATCAGCGCAGAGAGGGCACCATCTACTACGCCGCAGATCATCCCAGACGATCTAATGAAGCAGATCATGATCATGATGGAAGGCCACTACAGACTGGAGAAGCAGCCATCCCAGGGTCCGAGCCTTCGCGAAGGCTCCAACGTAGACAGCACCCCAGAGGCACCCCCAGTCAACGTAGCAGCCACGACGATGCCGTCTTCGCGAAGGAAGTCACAGACCACCTCCACGAAGGACCCAGATGCACAGCCTTCGCGAAGGCGGGAAAGATCATCACCCTCTTCGGCGTCATACTCAGATACGGAATCTGATCATCAGACCTCACGGAAGCCTTCGCGAAGGTCATATCACCGTTCCCCAGGACCGGACGCAGAGGAAGCTTCGCGAAAGCGTTCGCGAAGGACACCTGAACCCAGATCGTCATCATCATCTAAAAGGACATCGAGGGACTACACAAGAGCTTCGCGAAGCTACCAACGGTCCCCTCATAGGTCGCCAAGAAGATCAACCTATCGATGTAGATCACCAAGACGATCGCCTCACGCCGATCACCACGCCCGATCTCCACGTACATCACCACGTCGATCACCTCACAGGTCTGCACATAAGCCTACAACTAGATCTCCACAAGCGTCAAACGATATAGAGATAGAGCCACACAGTCCTACATCAGAAGAGCAACAACCTCTCATTTATGATGACGGAATGGAAGATGATGGAGGAATTATTTTCTCAGATGCGGAGATAAGATATTGGATGGTCAATAATCTAGATCTCTCATCACCTTCCAAGAGTGGCAATTCGGCGCAGACTTATCTGATGAAAGAAGACGATGCAGATGCTATTACACTACCCCCAATCGACCCGATTGCGGCGGTACCACAGAACCTAGATACAGCATTCAACAAAGCCACGAAGGTTCAAACACCACATCTGCCAAACTTTCCACGCCAAGAAGTTCTCCACTCATAATATGGACCCTTCTTCAAGGAGCAAGACATCGATGAGAACTACAAGCTGATCTCCGATGCCAAGAACAAGTACTACAAGATTGATGATCGAAAATTGGTTCAGATAGAAACCATGGCGAAGGCGTATGTTCTTTGGTCTAAATAGATCTAGAACAATAAATGAGACACTTATCACCAGATTTAGTAACACACGACCTCTGAAGATGGTAGAATGATTTACTCGGCCCTACTGATGCAAAGAAGGACCAGCAGTTCCTAACAGATCATCTCACGTCTGTCTCAGCAGCACTGACCTTAGCTTCTGCGTCGTCAAGGCCTCCTCGCTTCCTGCAACTGGGGTGAGAACTTTACAGCTCCACTATATACAGCCCCGTGGTCTTCCCCATCCATCTTTGGCGGAGGAATAGACAAAGTCTCCAAGGAAGTCACCAAGGATTCCAGAGAAGTCCTGATGATTAAATCGATGGACAAGCTAGCCAGTGTCATTCGACAGACTTCACAAAGATACTCAGGAGATCTAAATTCACGGGCCTACAAAGAGCAAGAGACAGGAAGATAGCCAGTTCCAGGGAAGAGATTCTTTTAAAATTAAGCCCATATGGCAACTATAGAGGAGGGTCAGGAAGAGGCAGGACACCCAGAGGTTCCCGCAACTATAAACGCTGAAAGACAGGTTCGAAGCGACTGGAGTCTTCCACCCCAGCCGTTCCAGTACAACCGTCACAAGTGGGTGGGCGTCTCCAACTACACTGGGAAAACTGGGAATACTTCAAGACACCTATGTCTCCAACATTCTTCAACGCAGATTTCGTGATCCCACTACAGGCCAAGCCTCCGCTAACAGTCAACCCTCCCAAGTTCGAGGTACAGGCACAGCAACTACTAAAGTTAAGAGGCTGTTACATTACTCCTAACCAAGCAGGCCATAGAAGTAATAGATCAAGGAAACATCAACCAGGTTTCTACTCCCCAGTTTTCCTAGTACCCAAGAAAAACTCCAAGGAGAAATACAGACTCATTTACAACATGAGCTTCTTCAACAAGACTTATCTACGCAGACCACCGAAGTTCCACATGATACATCTACCGCAGTTACGGCACATGATTCGTCCCATGGACTACATGGGCAGTATAGATCTACAAGATGCCTATCTGCACATCCCTATACATCCCGAATCCAGGAAATACCTACGGTTTACTCTAGACGGGTTACATTACCAGTGGAAAGTACTCCCCATTCGAATAACATCAGCCCCATGGTTATTCACGAGGATAAGCGAAACCGATTGTCACCTATCTACATCGTCAAGGGCTCACGAGTCGTTCTTCCCTCGACGACGGGATACAAGTAGATCAAGATCCACAGCATCTCAAACTACAGTTAAACTACATCATAAAGCTACTAACACAGCTGGGATGGTTAGTAAACTTACACAAGTCGGACCTAGTACCATCACAAAGATCTGCAATTCCTAGGCATTCGATTTATCACCAATCTCAACCGTATAGTCGTCGTGACCAGAAGACCGTTGGCTCAAGATCCAACAGATCATTCCTCCAGCCCTACTCTCTCCGCTACCACTTGACAATGGCAGAGTTTACTAGGTCTTCTAACATCAGCCCAAGACTTGACAGTCATAGGCAGATTACAGTTACGTCCCTTACAGGTCTTCATCAACACACATCTCGGCGACCTACAACCATTCAGTCTGCGGAACATCTCAGACCTCATCTACTATGGTGGACCAAGAAATCGAATGTCTGCGAAGGGATCTGTTTAGCAGAGCAGGAATTCAAAACCCATCTATATGTAGATCGCGATGCCTCAAGGTTGGGGAGCTCATCTCACCAACCAGGCGGCATCAGGGTTATGGAATCAGCTAGAAAGCAAGCTCCACATAAACTCATTAGAGATGAAAGCTGTAATCAACGCCATAAGACATTGGAGCAACATTCTACAGAATGCGCACCTGATGATACATACCGACAACTTCGACAGTGGCGTTCTATGTGAACAGGCAAGGCTCAACGAGATCGCCAACCTTTTGACTTTAACCTTTCAACTGTTCGAATTAATCCAAGATCTAAATCTACATGTCAAAGCATGCCACATTCCCGAGCCAGGAATATACTAGCTAGCAGGCGACTCTCGGCCACATCTACCGTCACCCGACAGAATGGATGCTCAATACAGAGATATTTGCACAGATAATCAAGCAAATAGGAGCCGCGTAGTAGATCTATTAAGCCACAAGATTCAACAATCAACTACCGACATTAGGTGTCACCAGTTCCAGACCCACAAGCATGGGCAACGGACGGCTCTAAGCATATCATGGAAGGCCTCAATGCGTGCAGCGTTTCCGCCCCCAGCAATAATACCTCAAGTATTACAGAAAATCAGCCAAACACAGAGCCTACAACTCATTTTGGTCAGCCCTACTGGCCGGTTAGAACGTGATGTTTCCGGCTCTAATACAAGAAATCGGGTCAACCGCACTAGAGCTACCCAAGCGCTCAAAGCTGTTAATACATCCACACACCAAACAGGTGCACAGAAACCCAGAAGTATTCAAACTTCACGTATGGACTGTATTAAAATGTGTTTAAACAAGAGAGGATATTCTACCAGGGCGGCAAAAGCGGTCAGCTTGCCTTTACGATACTCAACGCGAAACTTGTACGACGACAAGTGGCACAGTTTCAAAATTATGCAGCAAACAAGGGTTTTACAGCAAGAGATGCTACGCATCCTCAAGTAGCAGACTATTTGTGTTACTTCTACGCAAAACAAACATTTAAAAGGCTCGACATTGTCAACATATCTTGCAGCTTAGTTCTGTGATTTCTATGAGAACGGGTGTTAAATTGACAAAAACACCAGAGTTACTGGCCTTACTACGTGCTTTCGATTGGAGGACCAAAGCGCGAAGTTCCGCTTCCAGCTTGGGATCTGAATGTAGTGCTACAACACCTCACAAGTGAGGATTATGAACCATTGGAATCGACAACCTTTGAATTTCTCTCACAGAAAACAATTTTCCTGTTATCGCTAGCCACGGCAGCCAGAATATCTGAAATTCAGCTCTAGATTATGAGAGGATACAGTTTGATGACAATCAAAACACAGCACCTGGGATTAAGATGGGATTTCATCGCCAAAATCAACTACCAGGACAACCAGACAGGTTATTTCCGTCCCTCGCTATCCTCGATTCTCGATCTCAAGATACATTGGACTTATCTCTATGCCCAGTACGAGCTCTCAAAATCTATTTACGTGGATTCCAAAACAAGGCTTAAGATCGCTCAGAAGATTGTTCATCCCGTTATCGCCTACTAATCAGACAGAAGTCTCTCGTACCACCATATCTATATGGATAAGAACTGTCATTCTCACGCCTACAAGGCAGCAGGACTGGACCCTCCAACAGCATCAAATCCACATGAAATCAGGGCATTGGCCTCCACCCTCGCCCTTCACGGTAACTGTTCATTGAATACAATTATGGAAGGATGCTTCTGGAAATCTAACATGGTGTTTGCTAATCACTATCTGAGAGATATCACCACCGAGGGCGTCTCTGGCATTCACCATTTCGGTCCTTTGGTCCTCGGCTCAGCAATTGACAGTCCCTCGTGGGCCTTAATATTCACCCCCACGAGATTATTATGTATATTATACATACATTATTTAGCTTATAACTCCACGGAGTTCTAGGGCTATGTATATATTTAGCTTAGGTTATTCAACCTTAAGCTCATACTGAGTTTTATGTTCAGTTGTACAGCTTCTCTATCAGAGTAGCTTGTTATATCTATAAATTGGTATATTAGTCTATTAGTAATGTAATACCCCAGTTATGGTATATATAACCTATGGCTTATTATAAAGGAAATATCCTAAGTCAATGCCTTTATGAAGTTCCCGCAGGGGTTATTACAGTATAAGTTATTTAAATCACTAATTATTAATCCAAAGTATTCTGTTTATGCCCACCACCACTCCGGTGGATTCTACAAGCAAAAGAGCATGAGTCAGGATAAGGAAAAATATGTAATTTTTTGAGTAAAATTGATATTTTATACTTATCCTGACTCATGAGGTTAGCCCTCCCATCCTCCCCACATAACACTTTGGATTTCCCTGTAAATTCAAGTGTTGGGCTCGCAAAATCAGGAGAGAGTGAAGCATGAGGCCAGAGGGTGGCGACACCTGTTCCCGCGCTTGCGGCAGGGGAGAGTGAAGCATGAGGCCAGAGGGTGGCAACTCTTGGGTGAGTACCAATTAGTGATTTTACATTGAAGGGAGCTTCAATTAAGGAGATACAAGTGTTCCACTATGTTCGCAAGAGGAAGGGGACAAGCAAAAGAGCATGAGTCAGGATAAGTATAAAATATCAATTTTACTCAAAAAATTACATTTTAGGCAAGCTTACAAACCAAACCAAATTTTACTTGACTCAACTACTTGAATGGGTTTTTTTCAGATGAGCCATCCGACACAACAAGCAAAGGTTTCATTGAAGATTCCATTCCTACTGTAGATAAGGATAACGTGGAAAGCTCGGGTACAATTGTCTTTCTCTTTGTAACATAGTTTACTAATGTGAAACTGCACAGAAATTACCACTAAAACCATTTAAGTTTTCTTTTTGGCTTTGTATTAATGATTGTGCTTAATTTTACTTCATGAATTTCATCAATAACATTTGTAGACACGTTTTTGTCGGACATGCAGAACTCCTTGGTGAGGCCCGCCATATAGCTGGAATATTGCTGAGCGCGGTGTAAAACTCAACTCAACCGTGGCGAGGCAGTCACTGGTACGAGTGACTCCCTTTCAGATAGTATCTTAAGTTCATATGAAGTGACATGACATTGCTGGTCGAGGACGGAAATTAATTTATCAGTTTTGATGATTAAGTGTGTTAGGTTGTTATGTGCTGCTAATATGAATTCATCACATGAAGATGTGTGCCATGATCTTTTCCTTTTCTGTTTCATTAAAGGCCACACTCCTGAAGACAGCCTAGCAGTTGCGAGTGAAATTAACTCTGACAGTGGTAGATATGATTTTATTTCATTTGCATGTATAGATTCTTCACCAATATGAAAAAACAGTAATATGCTGGTAATTTTCAAAATTCATTGTAATGCAACTTAAATACTGAATAGTAGTTCAAGACAGTGGCTTGTTCACTGAAAAAATGTTTCTGTATTTTTCACAAACTTGCATATGTTGAATAGTGCTTGTTACAGTTACATTTACATGTCTTATTTACATTATAACTTTCTCAAATTCATCAAATCAGGAGATGGTTGCGATTCAGTGGATCCAGTCAGAAAAGCACCAAAGAGAGGCACAAAGAATTCTTGTGTCAGGTGTGTATATACATAACCACTATTAGAGATCGAGTACTGTCTCCATTTGTCAAGTTTCCATGCCCCAACTAGCATGAAGTTGTGTACGTTATACTTACATTGACTTCTTATATAGGCTTGTCAAATAGTAGCTATCACTAGTATCAGATACAGCATTTTGTTATTTTCCACAATGTGTAAAAATTTCGAGTTTCCATAACAACAAAACAACTGAAAACAGTGAGCAGATTTTGTTTAAAGTGTGCAATATTTCTTCACTGAAGATGGCACACCGATACAGTTTGATCTAGTTTTTGCCTATTAATAGTTATTGAATTTCATTTTTATGATAGAATATTTTTAAACTTATCCTACCTCATGGTATGCACTTCTCTCTCTACTTCGACCAAGGCGTGGAAATGTGCTGTAGGCTAAGTTGAAGCCAATGTTCTGGCCTCACACCCACCCGACCTCTAACCCCTCTCCTATAGCTGGACCTGTCATTCATCTCTGTAAAGCATGCTAGGCGCTCAGATGGTCACGTGACATCCCACTACTGTCATTCTTTTTCTTGTTGCTCACCGAGGTGGATGTGTGATGTTACCTCTGTCTGCCACTCATCTCCATTGTATTCATCATGGGGGAAAAGTAGTCGTTCGTCAAGGAAAAGAAAACATTGTGATGAATGCAGGAGTAACTTTTCTGCTGCTGACAATATCGTTCTGGATGAGAGCCGTTATACTAAGAGCCTACAAAGCAGCAGGATTAGAACTTCCAAGAGCTTCCAACCCACACAAAGTGAGAGCACTGGCGTAAACTCTTGCTCTGCATGGAAATTGCTCTATATCATCAATTATGGAGGGCTGCTTCTGGAAGTCAGATACGGTGTTTGCCAACCACTACCTCCGAGACATAGCCACTGAAGACGTCTCCGGCATTCACCAGTTTGGGCCTCTTGTTGTAGCACAACAACTAACGGTTCCTCAAAGGCGCTGAGTTGAAATCTCACCTTTTATCACGTTGACTTGTTGATAACTTTTACTATGGAAAAGTTTCTAGTTTGAAAGTCCATGCACACAATCTAGACTAGGCTAGCATGAGTGATTAAGAGTCATGGGTTGTAACTCATAACTAGTAAAAAGAAGATGCTAGTATATCTTAGGCCACATGAATCTAGAAGATTCACTTGTCTGAGAGAGAAGTAAGACAAGATTGTGGTCCCCCCGAGTTATAATGGAAGTTGGAAGAATAGGATCTAGGAAATGCCATTACGCAGTTCCCATGGGGGGATACAGGACGTATCTATGAAGAGCTGTGACTTGACCCACCACCAATCCGTAGGATTCTATAAGCAAAGATCATGCGTCAGGATAAGGAAAAATATTGATATTTTATACTTATCCTGACTCATGAGGAGAAGCCCTCCCAACCTCCCCGCTGTAAACACTTCGGATTTCACAGTAGATCCAGGTGCATGGGCAGAAAAATAAGGAGCGAGTGACAAGTAAGGATAGTCACATGGCTGTTTACGCCGGAAAAGGGAGGTAACTCGGGGGAGAGTGAATTCAGGGAACCACAAAGGATTCAAGTGTTCCACTACCATTCGCAAGGAAAAGGGAGATAAGCAAAGATCATGAGTCAGGATAAGTATAAAATATCAATTAAAAATGACATAATTCAACACATTCAGGTTGAAGATTCTCTGCGACTACTGCCTCACTACGTTCCCAACAACCCTGACCTACGCTCCACGTCCTCCACTTCCTTTCGAGGTAAAGGTTACCCTCGAGGACATCCCGAATGCCAAAGCTGCTCTTTCACCATTTCACGCTCCTCTGCCAGATCGGGATCTGCGAAACAGTGACTTGATGACATCGCCGCACGACTGGGACTTTCTGCCCTTTGAGTAGTAGACTCTCCGGTAGGCGGAAGATTTGGAACCTATGCACCCAATTGGATCATTTTGGAAGACGCCTACGTTCAGTCCACTTTGACCTTGGGATTTCAACTCCCTCTGGTTGGTACTCCTCCATTGACTCTTCAGCTGCTATCCTGACAGTAGTCCTGCAAACCACGATCGACACATTGATACAGAAGCTTGCGGTCTAAAATCTTGGTCCGGCTCCCATCGGTCCGGGGTTCTATTCTCCAATATTCCTGGTTCCGAAGAAAGACTCAGACAAGCTGTGTTTAATCTTCAATATGAAGGTATTCAATGCGATGATGATCCTCCAACAACCTCCCCACTACCAGATGGTTTCGGTGGTGCTGTTACGTACTGAAATCAAGCCAGACGACTTCATGATCAGTCTAGTCTTGCAGGATGCCTACCTTCATGTACATCTTTGAGGGCACCTACCATCAGTGGCGTGTCCTCCTATTTGGCATTTCTATGACCCCATGGCTATTCACACGGGTTACGAAGCCAATCACAAGATTTCTTCACCGCAGGGGTATCATCTTCAAGGCATATATCGATGATTGCATCCAAGCGCAGACAGATCAACGTCATCTCCTTTATCACATGACTTCACGATACAGCTTCTTCGCCAATTAGGTTGGCTCGTGAATTTGCACAGGTCGGAACTAGTCCCCACGCACCGGCTTCAGTTCATCGGGGCGGTGTTCAACACCAATCTCAACAAACTCTTTGTCTCAAGAGATTGGTTCCTTAAAATTCAGCGGTTGGTAGCCCTAGCATTCTCGCAACCCAGGACTCTTTGTCAGTGGCAACAACTTCTGGGTTTGTTGATGTCAGCACAGGCTTTGACTCTCGGGACAGCTTCAACTATGGCCTCTCCAGTTTTTTCTGTGTCTGCACATCAGGATCGGCGACCCTCACGCGTTGATCTCTCTTCCTCCAGTGCTCCATCCCCATCTCCAATGGTGGTTGGACGAGTTGAATGTTTGCGGCGGAGTCTCTTTAAAGCCGTTTTCTCCAGTTCATCATCTGTATGTAGACGCCTCTGTACACGGGGAGGGAGCTTACCTACTAGATCAGCAGGTGGCAGGGCTGTGGTCTCCCGCAGACCAAACGTGTCTCATCAACATCTTGGAGTTCAGGGCAATCATTTTGGCGATCACTCATTGGCAATGACTTCTACAATCAACCAGCCTTCTGGTTCGTTCAGACAACGCCTCAGTAGTATTGTATATCAATCAGATGGGTTCCACGGGCTCCCCACAGCTCCTTCAATGGACCCAATAGTTATTCCGCTTGGTGGACTCGCTCAACATCACGGTCAAGGCCAATCACATTCCAGGTGTGAAAAACATCATTGCCGATTCACTGTCCCGCTCAGCTCGGCCTTCCCTGACAGAGTGGAAACTGCATCTGCAGATCTTCCAGACTCTTTGCTTTCCGATGTCAAACCCGACAGTGGATCTATTCGCAACCCGCTTCAACACCCAGCTTCTGAAGTTTGTGTCGCTGATTCCAGGTCCTCTGGCATGGGAACATGACACACTAGCCATCCTCTGGGAAGACCTCAACACGTATGTGTTTCCACCAGTGGCGCTACCTCCACGCATACTGCTCAAGTTACGAACGACGCAGCGGATGACACTGCTTTTGGTTGCGCCTTACTGGTCGTCCGGAAGTTGGTTTGTAGACCTGCAAAACATGGCGGATCCACACCCAATTGCCACAGCGCATCGTGTTTCCACCCGATTACTCTACGATGATAAATGGAAGAACTTTGAAGCATATTGTAAGGTGAAGGGCATTACTTCCCCTACTACAGCATCACCACAGATGGTAGCTGAATATCTCCAGCATCTACGTGCTTCCAAGAAGTCACATATTTAGCTGGGCTTAACACGGTCATTGCCATGGCTTCGGGTGTCAAAGTGTCGACTGTCCCTTAACTCCAGTCTCTCCTGCGATCTTACAAGGTTGTTGATCAATCTCGGAAGTTCTGGCCACCAGTTTGGGATCTTTCTGTGGTTCTTAAGACATCTCACGTCAGAGGGAATATAAGCCTTTGAGCATGCTATGTTTAAGACTTTCTTCCTCATAGCTCTTGCGACAGCTGCCCGCATTTCCGAATTTCACGCACTGGATGTCAACAGGGTGCAGTTTGAGAGGACATGACATGCCAAAGTTTTCCTAGGTAACCTCACCTAGCTTGACTAGGGCTTGTTAGTACTGTCATACCCATGACTCGGTAGACTGTGAGGCCAGTCTTCTACTTGTGCAGAGGTGGTCGACACTCCACTTGACCTCTGCTCTTTGAGCTATTACGTCAGCGAAGTGTTGATTTCCGATTACCTATATGGTTTTCAAAGTGTTCCGCTCCTAAGTTCTTTTCTCACCTTTGGTAAGATGGTGGATTGGTACTGAAAGTTAACCGGACCGGACTGTTCTCCCTTTCACCGCCTTCCAGTGTTTGTCTGTGGGAGATAGTTTCGAAGCAGGTGCTGGCCAGATTAAGGTCTTCAACTTTAATTCACTGGGGTTTCTGAAAAATCGTGGGGAGGCGGGGCTTACTTGCCAAACTGTCACCTTTTGCTTGCCAAAAGTTGCATCTGAAAACCACATTAATTCGGGACAGCCCACTCCCTAGAGTATTTGTGCTATGTAAGCCGAGAGGTTTATTAATCAGAAGCAACCCATCACAAGTATTGGAGTAAGCATGTCGGGAGTTGGTGCTTTCTCTAGGCCTCCTTGTGTTATGCGACCTCACGGTTGTTGTGTTGACATAGGGTAATCTGCGGCCAACCATCCAACCGTGGGATAATGCATACCGTGCATAAGTTTTAAATTAAGAAATTTTATCTATAAATTGTATATTTATATACTTATCCTATCTCACACGATGGATTCCCACCTGAGCTTCCCAACATCTCAGATTCCTTGGAGCTCCAAGACGAGAATGACAGTAGTGGGATGTCACGTGACCATCTGAGCGCCTAGCATGCTTTCCAGAGATGATTGAAAACGGCCAAAACAAAATTCGAGAAAACGGCCACTGCCCTCAAGAAAACGGCCACCGCTGCTAGAGAGAATGGCCTCTTGGCCA